GGGTCAATAGGCCCAATCCTTGTGTAATAGATGATTATTATTATTAAAACATCTGTAGAAACTGCTTGTATTAAAGGTTTTAAAACAGAGTCTACACCCTTTATTTGGTAAGGTGTTTGACAAAGGAACGCAACACAAAGCGAGCATTAAAACCGTATGTCATGCATATTTAGAATTATCAGGAATAGCGAGTTGTTTGAGTGTGAAAAGCTGAAAGAAGGTTTGTTGGCTCTGTCTGCTCAGAACGTCCTGCACGCCTCCGATCTTATTTTCTGTCTAATGCCTTCTGTTGAGGTTTCACAAATTATATCCCCGATATTTAATGCTTAAGACATTTGTAAAAAAAATATTTCAGGTAGTATTTACAATTAAAAGTATTCTGACTGACATACCATTCATTGACTTTATATTGGGTTCACAGCCAAACGTCTGGCACCAAGGTTACCTTGACGTTTTGGGTCACAAGACTCGCATAAAACTAAGAATTTTGAAATTACAGAAGACCCAGTCACACAAGGAAATGTTAATATGCGACGCACATAAGATTTTGAATGTGTTGATGGAAATTTTTTGTGGGTGGGGAGCTTTGGTTCAACCCTACCCCTGCTAGAAAGCTAGGTGTCTTTGAAGTTTTCTAAATGTGCTGTTGACTGCTCTCATACTCCACTCTAACAAAATGTTGACCAACCAGTGGAAGGTGATTGTTGTAGCTTGAACTGGTTTTGAACACATTGGCTAATCATAACCTGTGAAATCGAAAATAGTATGTTTCATCTCCACAAATTGAAACCTTTTCCTAGAGTGGGTTACACGCACGAGGGGACTGGTGTTAATTGGCGAACTTCCATGTCACTCTGCAGCATGGATCACTAAAGACAGAAAGACATGACCAACACTTAATCGGCTCACTGCCATTATATAATATACTGTGATCAAATACCCTGATAACAGAGCAATTTTATATCCTTATTGCATGACATGAACTTTCTAATATTGATAGAAGCATTTCAGGGCCTTCATCTATTAAATCTTTGTTCAGGAGAATGAGTCACATTGTTTATTTACCAATAACATGTTGAATATTAGCGAACAATCATAAGGGAACACACAGTGCTTCTTTTCCAAGTGACAAAAGTCTGATCGGCTTATACGACAATGTCGTCATATATACCCACAAATTGTGAAGGATGTGGAAGCAAACTCAGTATCATAACAAAGTGTAAAATGGGGAAAATATGCATAACATATTTATTACTACAAACAAGCTGGTTGTGAGACCAGTAAAAGATGTGCATGTAATATCAAACTGATTTATGAAAATTACAGTGAGGAAAAGAATTGGACCGAACAGGTTTAGGGTTGTACCCACTAGCAGATATTAGTTTCTGTAATACATAAGGCTTTAGGCGACTTTTTTGAGATCCATTTTGAAATGTTTTTGTAAATTCTTATTATAGATTTCTTTTTGTTTTCAAATCAGCTACAATAGAAAATAAGTATATGAAAAATTTGTAAGCCATATTACAAGCACAGGAAA